TAAACATGATCTAAAGTTAGAATTTGAGACTTAAGAGCAGATTATACTTCTGCAACTGCACACATCAAATGTCGCTTGGGTCTGGTCGCAAAGTTTTTGCTGCAGTTTTGCTGGTATGTTTCTGCACCGTCCGTCTGGAATGTCTAGGGACGCACAGCAGTTGCCCGCCAAAGTGCAAGGGGGAGCCTTCTCCAGAACTTGCAAGAACTACAGCGGATGGTCACGAGAACTTCAGCAGCACCGGCGAGAGTGTTTATCTTCCAAACAAACTATGGCACGTCTGCAAGATGTCAAGGGGATGGATCTAGAGTTGGTAGACATCGAAAAGGATATATTTATTTATATAATTTTTCTGAGGCATCATACATGTGGTTGTACTTCAGACCTCCTCGATTAACCTTTCATCGTAGTTGTCCATTCTTCCTCGGTTTTTAAAAATTCATGAAGGACAACCACACAGACAGCCGGAAAGGCATACAAAGGACCAATCGCAGCTGCTTTTTGTCTGCGCACTTCCGCTTGATGTCTGCGTGGGTTTGCGACCATCCGGCGCGTAGTCAGGATTTTTTTTAGGTGCATGACGACGGTTCAGAACCTCGGCGCAGGGGGCGTGGTCACGCACAGAGACAGATTTGACAGTTGCAGAGGCTATGCGTCAGAAGCATAAATTGGCCTTTAGACCGGTAAACTTGTAGTTTCCTTCCATTCTGGCACAAGTTGTTCAGGAAATCTCCTAACAGGAAAAAAATGCTTTCTCTAAGTCAGGAGAGAGACATCATTGTTCTGGTGTTTAGATTTGTTTTCTTCCAGCTGCTGCAGCATCTAGGCCAGAACGGTCCTCCTGTGGCAGTCCTAGGTATACACATGTAGAGGTGATTATGTGCTTTCGACACGATGGCTTGTTGGAACTGAGCCCTGAGGAGAAATTCTCTTTTCTAAGGCCGTTATTGTTCAGCTTGTGTACTGCTGATTCCCATCCCAAAGGAGAGCAAAGGATGTTGTCACCTACGCATCTGGCAGAAGTTTGCCAGAAAAGCCGTGGATTGAGTCTGGATTACTGACGCCATGTTGGGTGAATAATTATTGTCTCTGGTTGTTCCATGCTTATTTTCTTCTTCTCCCTTTCACCAAATGCTCCTTTCTTTTTCTTTTTTGCCCCCTAACCACCACCAGTACCATTAGTAATCTGCTCTGCAGCCACTGTTGGCACCACCCACCTCCTGCTACAGCAGCCTGTTATCAAAGCCCAGTGTTGCTCCTCCAGGCGGTGCTTTTTGGACTCTGCTTTATGAGCGAGCTGCAGAGGACAGGGTACAAAGAGATCAAACGTCATAGCTCGGCTGGAGCTCAGCTTTTAGCGCATAGTTCACTTCAGTCTCCAAATTCTCACCACAGTCAATGCAGCCGTTTCAAATCAATAAGTTAGCATTTTAAATAACTTGATGGTGGTGTCAAACAAATATGCATCTGTCAGACTTGATATGCTTAAAATACTGTCTCATGTAACTTAGTTTCAGCTTTATTTTGATCTAATATGAGCCCTAAGTTTATTTTGTAAGCACAGTTTAACATCTTTTAGCTTAGCAGCTATGGTTCTGTGCTATCTTTGCCATCTTCATAAAATAAAAATGTTGGCTGTTGTTTTAATCTTGGCCTTTTAAACACTCTTCTTTTTATTAACTATTACCTTGGAGAATGTTTTTGTATTAGAATATTTTTGTTAAATGTCACATACCCAAATAAAGAGGAGTGATTGGTAGTATTTAAGCTGTTGCAGCTAGCTGAGCAGCTTAATGTTTTAGCATATTGAATCACATTGCTGCTAGAATACTTTTAATGCATGCTAATTTGATTAATTTAGTAAATCATTAGCATTTTAAAATAATAATTTGTATTTTATTCAGTCCTAAATAAAAAGTACAACAGCTAGGCAGCTAATTACC